GTTAAGAGTGTTGAGATGAGTGTGCGTCCGATGTAGAATAGGATACCTGATGTAGAATACTTCACTGATTTTATTTCCACGTCGGTCACTACTATAACCAATGTAGAATTGTTCATATTTACATCATTTTTTGGAAGAACCGATGTAAATATTCTTATATTTTTTACTTATTTATAAAATTGTCACCGCGTATTTTTTTACATTTTTTTCTAGGGAACCGATGTAAATATAGCGACATTGAATAGTATTTTTCTAGTGGTGCATCATTGTCCATTCCAAGTCCTCCAAAAGATTCATAACAATTCATATAAGCTACATCTTCCTTCTAATTATGGTGTCAGCCTTAGTTTTAATGCATGTGATCTTACTCCTTTTGTAAGGGAAACTGACATTGAAGATGAAGATGTTGGTCTAAGGCCAAATCATTCTCAAGAAGGAGGGGATAATGGAGGACCATTCTTATGGATACATGTAGGGCCCATCACTAGGTTTATGGCTAGGAGAGTGGAAGAGGATGGAGGAGAGACTACCTTAGCTAGAGTTATGCTTATGATGATCATTGAGTATTATTCCTCTCCTAGGCCTTTAACAGATTAGGGTTTATTTCTTTATTCTTGTATTTTCCATTTTACTCTTGTATTTTGGGATATCCTATATGATAGGTTTTTGTTTTATCTTTTTTAATAGCTAAGGTATTTATATTAAGGATTAAGTAATTAGGCCTAGATGTGTTTTTTTGGTGTTTATTGATGTTATTTTTAGGCTTGGTGAATCTTAGGCCCAAGAGGAGGGCACCTAGGTTGCATAATCTTATTATGTAGCTAGATGTAGCTTAGCCAAACCAAAGATTTCATCCTTAGCCACCAAGTGGACGTCATTTCTAGGGTTACATGTGCCTTGTATTTGTGATGCATTTCCTTCCCAATTAGCATGGAACTGCACACATTTCTAGACCTAGCCACCACCCTCATCATTGGCCCATGACCTCATACCCTAATCTATAAATACCCTAGGGTGTCATCCTTCATGTATTTACTTTGGATTATATTGATATTGAGAAAGCCTTCTACCTTAGTATCTTATCCTTATTCCCCTTGGTCTATTCGACCAACTTGTTTCTTATCTCCACCTTGAGTGGCTAAACCCTAGGAGTGGCTTTCATCAACCTTGGAGTGAGCCAAATCCTAGATCACTTCTCAAACCTTTTATTGAACACCTTACATTCATTATCATTTTCGGCCATGATCCTTGCTTAAGGCTAGAATCACTTGAAGAATCATGATCCTTAGGGTAAGGAAGTCTTCCATTGGTAATTCTCATCCATCAATGGAAAAAGGGTTCCATCAATATCACATAAAAAAAATTAGGTAGAAAGGTGTCACAAATCCTACAAAAAAACTTGTATTAAACAAGTGTTGTCTAAATAGATCCTACAACAACACTTGTTTAGAAGAAGTGTTGTCTATATAGACCATACAATAACAATTTTTTAGAATAAGTGTTGTTTAAAGGGACCCCACAACAACACTTCTTTAAAGTAGGTTCTATTTAATGGGACCCTATGACCAAGACTAGTTTATTACAAGTGTAGTCTAAAAAGGTCCTACACCAACACTTATTTAAAACTAGTATTAGTCTTCTGGTAACGCTTATTTAAAATAATAGTTGTTTAAAGGGATCCTGCAATAACACTATTTTATTACAAGCATCGTCTGAGTATAACCTATAATAGCACTATTAATATGTTGTTAAATGTAAACCTCTTTTAATTGCATAGGCATTAACAATACACAAAAGTGTTATTGAAAACTTTATTTAACTATATATTGTTCAAGGTTCTTTTAGTATAACAGTCACTACAAGAAAAATGATCTATACCTACACACAATTTTACCTACACACATAAGTTAATGTAAGTAAAAACTCAAAAATACTTTTACCTACGCATGTTTAATGTATGTAAATCACAAAAACATATACCTATAGTCACTTAATGTAGGTAAAATTTGAAAAATTATTAATAAATATTTTATTGATAGCCAATATTTTATTTAGTTACTAATAATTATTTAAGTAAGTTACTGAGTTTATTAATAATTATTGATTTATAAATATTAAACAATTATGGTGTAAAAAAATATTAAGTAATTATAAATTATTTATAACTACTTTAATCTATTTTATTTCAATTTGACTAGTCACGTGTTTTTTTTCTTAATTTTAGTTAGTGTAATTTGAAAAGAGAGATTTGCGTGGAAATTGAAATCGAAATAGCCACAGTAGTAAGAGTGAGATTCACTTTTACTTTACATAAGGGTTTTTTATCACTTCAAACATAAAAAATCTAAAGGTATGATTTCAAATTCTTCCTTTCTCTCTGTTTCCTACCGTAACCACTAATTTTCACAGCTCATTAAGCAGCGGAGATCGAAATCAACATAACTTGCATTGGAGATCGAAATCAAAATAGCTCGCAGTGGAGAGAATGAAGATCACTTTTACTTTTCATAGGGTTGTTCATCGCTTCAAACTTAAACAATCTTAAGGTCTGATTTCATATTCTTCTTTTCATGCCTTTGTTTCACACATTATTTATTCAATCTAAAGGATTGGTTCCAAATTTGTAGATCTCGTAACACTTGTGTTCTTCTAATCTAGGTTTTTTTCTAGAATCCTTTATTTCATTGCGATTTGCTTTTTGAGTTGTTCTTTTGCTCAATCTTCTCTTATATTGAATTTTTGTTGCTTGATTGAGAGATAGTGAAAATGTTCTTCATTGGAAATGATATTTTGTGTGGTGTCTCTGTTCTGATTCTTTTTTTTTTTTTTAATATTATTTAGAAAGTCCTTTTAAAGCTTGAATTCAGAAGATAAAAGTAACCACAACTCTTAATAGCAATATTATTTTTTATAGTTTTGGACTTTCTTTTTACATAATGTTGTAGATGTAATCTCTGTTCTGATGCCTTGGTGGTTGCAATTTAGGAACTTGGGAATTCTCATTACGGTTATATTCCCTTGTCTCTATTTTTCATCAACTTCGAGTTCCCTATGTAGCTGAGTTGTTCTGTTGTGTCGGAATTGGTGTCTCCATGGTTGCAATTTAGGAACTTTGCATGCAAGTATTAGACGCGTTTTATATTTTCAAGACATTAATGCATTGCATTTTCATTTAATACTTTTTTAATAAGTTCGTAGCAGGATTTGAAGGAAGATATAACCTTAGTGATTACTCATATATCGCATAAATCTAAAGTTGGGAATTAGTTTTCTATAGTTGGTTTATGAAGGAAGATATAACCTTAGAAAATTTGTCATGATTTCAGAATGTGCATGGTGAAATACATGATTTAAAACTGAGAATATATAGAGCTTCAAGCCTTCAACCAACCCCAAAAAAATATAGTTACTGTACTTGACAGCGACAAAAATATGAAAAACAGGTTGATTCCCACAAGAATATAAGAAGTTATTGTCATAATACAATAAGTTATGTATTTTAGTACCAATTGATTGAATTTAGCTTTACTTTTTGCTTCTAGAGCTTAATGCTGTTTATTGAAATTTATATTGATTGAATTCATGTACATAGAGAACACATTAATCTTATTAAGAGACGAAATTAATGAGAATCATATACTTTATAATTGCTTGACAGCCTTAAGGGCTGCAAGTAAGAGTTTCCATCAAGGCCTTTTCCATAATAGTTTGTCAAGATTTCTTTCATAGTAATGTCCCTGTAGACTGGAGGGTTTTCTTCTGATAGCAATTCCTTTATTGGACCGTAAATCTTCGATGTACATTCAGATATAGTAAAATTCATATATTAATTATCATAAAATAGCAACCCTGGGTGTAGCTATAGGATTCAAATAATAGAGTGATTTTAATTAGTAATCATTACGATTATTATTCTCTTTTTGCATACTAGCTATGTATTAATTATCATAAAACATGTCTCTGTTTGTGAAATTTTAATTAGTATTTTTTTTATTTTTTTAATCAAAATATTAGTTTACTTTTTATCATAGTCACTAATAAGAATAATTATATCATTATGAAATAACAATACCTACTACCATACTATGAGTCATGATCTAGATTAGATGACAATATAATTCTTGACTTAGAATATTAACTAAATTTTATAGATTATTATTAAATTTTCTCACCTTCTTCTTTGGCATTTTCTCTTAGCAGGAGATACCAATTGGTAGAGTTGAGATTTGTTGCTTGTGAGTGGGTAATTGTTCATCTGGATAGTAGCAAAATAACAAGATCAAGTTGAGGATTTGGATCCAATTGTGGTATGTATGTTCCATCCAAAAAAACTCCTAAAATTTTGGTTTGAAAAGTGCAAATGAAGATCTTGGATTTGTCATTATTAGTTAGTTAAATTGTCTTTTTATGTCACTTAAAAATAGTCACTTAAGAATAGTCACTTAAGAATAGTCACTTAAAAATAGTTAAATTTATGTATCCATTTATTTTTGCTTATTGGAGTTTTTTTTTTTTTATTTGTCAGTTTGTTGTATCAAATGGATAAGAGTTGGATTTGTGAAGTCTCTCTAAATAAAGAGAAGTATATTAGAGGGGTTCTAAATTTTCTTGATTATGCTTTCGAAAGATCATCTAAGGATGGAAAAATTTTATGTCCTTGTACCAAATGTGTAAATTTCAAGTGGCACTCTCGAGTGAATGTCTACGAACACATAATCAATCATGGGTTTCTAAAAGGATATATTAATTGGATCTTTCATGGAGAACAAGTTGGCTTTTCTAATTTTGTGAGTACATCTCAAGTAGAAGGGGAGTTTGATCATGACATGGATACATTGATTCATGATGCTTTTGCTATGTATACAAATAATAATAGTGATGATACATGTATAAATGATGAGGATAGGGATTCTGGAGCATTTTTTAATGAACACAATGTTCAACAATCTGATGATAGAAACAATCCAGATAAGTTCAATCAATTTTTAAAGGAGGCTTATTATACATTCCACTGTCATTTAATTTCTTTGATTCATTCATATTTTTCTTGGATGTGAAAAAATGGGATGAACTTATTATACAAGCAGTTTCAATTTTTATAATAGATATATATTATCCAAATCTTAAGTTTTCAATGAATATAATGTGTTTTTGTGTAGGATGAACTAAAGAAGCATATGATAGAGGCAGAAACCTCAGAAAACCCACATGCCACAATAGGTTCTACAAATTGGAAGAATGACATATTCTCAAAAGTGAAAGGGCCTGAAAAAAGAGGACGTGTACGTTGTCTTGGTAAGCTTCCACGACGTGTAAATTCAAATGTTTCATCTGAAAACTCCAATGCAGAAAATAGAATACAAAAGTTAGAAAAGTTGTTGGGAAATATTGTTGTGGTCTTTCAAAGAAAATTTTCAGAAGATCCAGAAATCAATAATGTTTTACATGCTGTAGCTCAAGAGGTATGAATGCTTACAAGAAATATAATTATTACATGACATTGTATAAATGAATAACTTTTTTTTTTCTTCATTTAGATACCTGATATTGCAAATACTAAAGATTTCTGTTAGATCTTGATGACAGTAGAGACTTGGTGAAGGTACATATCATTTTTCATTTGTCTTATTTCTCAATAACGTATATTCAATGATGTTTGGGAATTACAATTATGATTTTTTTTGGGAGATTAAAAATATATTGTTATTTTTAGAATTATGATTGAAATTTGTTGCAAATTTATGTTTATAATGTTTTTTATTTTATGTGATTGACATACTTAATTTTGTGAAAATTGATTTCTAGTAATAGTCATATTGATGTGATTGTTTGAGTTTGGGAATAAGATTTTAAAAAACAATATCCAATTATAGTTGTGGCAAATTCTCAAGATGATATTTTACATTCGACGATGCTTGAATGGCATACATATATGATAATATGTGTAGGATCACTATCTAATATTTTATATTGATATAGTAAATTTTATCACTGTCTTAGATGAAGAAAAATAACACCTTGGTAAACTTGTATTCTCCCTTCCCTCCCTAACTAATTTTTCTTGTGGAGATTGGAAAATGATTGTTGAAAATTTTTAGATTGTATTGTTGTAAAAATATTTTTATTTGAATTTTCATACTTTAATTTAATATTTACTTGTTGAATTTGCAGGTACAAAATTATACACTAATCGAACACTGTTGGACTTCTTGTTGAAACTTTGAAGCATAGAAAATACTTCTATGACTAAAGACCTTTGTGGCAATAAGGATAGAAAACTTATTTGGTGCTTTTGTGGTTTTGAATTCAATAAAATAAAAGAGAAGATTTTAGTATAGAGATAATATTTCTTTTAGAGCAAACTATGAGCTCATTATCGCTATCCAATATATCTGAATGTTTGAAGAATTATAAAGCTACATCCATGAATATATAAATAGAATATTACACATATAATTGAATATTGCAAATAAAGTCATGGTTAAGTGTTTATATATTTTTGTCCATGCAAAGTTTGATATAGTACATTTTACAATTGTTTCTAATAATATATCTATAAATTTAATTATATTAAATTTTGTTAAAAATCAAATTTATTAATAATTAATATTGAAAAATTGTAAGTAATATTAAAAATAATTAAATTAGTTAAATAATAGTAAATGATAAATAGAGATTGTAGGTATAAAATAATCTTTTAAAAGGAATTACAATTATGATTTTTTTTGGGAGATTAAAAATATATTGTTATTTTTAGAATTATGATTGAAATTTGTTGCAAATTTATGTTTATAATGTTTTTTATTTTATGTGATTGACATACTTAATTTTGTGAAAATTGATTTCTAGTAATAGTCATATTGATGTGATTGTTTGAGTTTGGGAATAAGATTTTAAAAAACAATATCCAATTATAGTTGTGGCAAATTCTCAAGATGATATTTTACATTCGACGATGCTTGAATGGCATACATATATGATAATATGTGTAGGATCACTATCTAATATTTTATATTGATATAGTAAATTTTATCACTGTCTTAGATGAAGAAAAATAACACCTTGGTAAACTTGTATTCTCCCTTCCCTCCCTAACTAATTTTTCTTGTGGAGATTGGAAAATGATTGTTGAAAATTTTTAGATTGTATTGTTGTAAAAATATTTTTATTTGAATTTTCATACTTTAATTTAATATTTACTTGTTGAATTTGCAGGTACAAAATTATACACTAATCGGACACTGTTGGACTTCTTGTTGAAACTTTGAAGCATAGAAAATACTTCTATGACTAAAGACCTTTGTGGCAATAAGGATAGGAAATTTATTTGGTGCTTTTGTGGTTTTGAATTCAATAAAATAAAAGAAAATATTTTAGTATAGAGATAATATTTCTTTTAGAGCAAACTATGAGCTCATTATCGCTATCCAATATATCTGAATGTTTGAAGAATTATAAAGCTACATCCATGAATATATAAATAGAATATTACACATATAATTGAATATTGCAAATAAAGTCATGGTTAAGTGTTTATATATTTTTGTCCATGCAAAGTTTGATATAGTACATTTTACAATTGTTTCTAATAATATATCTATAAATTTAATTATATTAAATTTTGTTAAAAATCAAATTTATTAATAATTAATATTGAAAAATTATAAGTAATATTAAAAATAATTAAATTAGTTAAATAATAGTAAATGATAAATAGAGATTGTAGGTATAAAATAATCTTTTAAAATAATAAACAAATTACCTACAGCTAGGAATTGTAAGTACATATCAACAACTTTTACCTACAGGCAATGAACCAAATACAATAAATCAAAATTAAGGCTATAGTGACAGCTAAAAATTCTATAGAGACAAACAATAGTTGTTGTTATAGGACTCTTATAATGGACAGATAAAATATCTGTGGGTCAATGTATAAATGAGTTATACCAACAATTTTTTTACTTTTAGTGACAGTTTTTGTCCATCTCTATAAGTCAAGTTTTTTGTAGTGAGTTGTATAAATATATTTCATTCTAAAGGAAGAAATTATGACCATAAACAACTAAAAGCCAAAAGGATTTTGGGGAAAAACTTTTAAACGATTTTGAATATTAAGTTTAATTTTATAAAGGTCATCACACCATTTACTTTAACACAAATGTTATTAACATTATTAATATTCTAGTATCGGGTACTGCCATCACAGAACCACCATGATACAATAACATATATATTCTCATAACTTATTCAAAAACATTATAACATGTATATCCTTATAACAATATTAATGGTTAACACATATCCTTGATTGCAAGTGATTGGCGCACTTGGCACATAGCTTCCAAGGGATATTTTTTTGACATAACAGCTTCTTTTCCTTCGGTCATATCAATTTCTTTATTGGTGTTTCTCCACTCAAAACATTGAATTAATAAGGCTAGAGTTAAATTCATTGAGCGTTGAGCCATGTTTTCTCCAGGACAAGCCCTTCTTCCTAACCCAAATGTAAGTAGTTTGTTTGCTTCACCTTCTTTCTCAAACCTCTCTGGCTTAAAGTGTGTAGGGTCATTCCACAACATGGGATCTCTATGAATAGCCCATGCATTCAGTAACAAAATTGTGTTTTGTGGTACATCATATTCTCCTATGGTGCAATCTTCTGAAGACAAATGGGGTAATAATAATGGACCAGCAGGATATAACCGAAGTGTCTCATATATAATACATTGGATATAGGAGAGTTTTGAAATATCATGTTCATCAACTAGGCGATTTTTTTCAATACAAGTGTCTAATTCCTTTTTTGCCTTTTCCAATATTTCTGGATGATTTAATAAATTAGACATGGCCCATTCTAAAGTTAAGGTTGATGTGTCTGTTCCAGCAAATATGATACTCTGTAAAATCATGAAATGAAATATCAATCAATTAAAATAATATGTTAAGTAATTCTTTCTTTAAACTTAATTACTAAATTTTTTACTTTTCTAGAATTTGAATTTTTTTAGTTTCTCAATAAAAGCGTATTAACGATCTGTCTTGCAAATAAGTAAATTTATATTTGAAAAATAAAATCTAAGACACTTGTAGCTTTCATAAACTTCGATAGTATTTAAAAATTTCAGATGCACTAGTTCCCTTTCTGTCTTTTCTTTTCTAGTTAAGATTTGGTTTCCACAGTTTCTTTGGACCACAATGACCAAGATATTATTAGTTTGTTCATATCTATCAAGTTTTAATATTCCCGTTGAATTATTACATGATATGTGTTTTAAATATAAATAATATTTAATAACACTTAATTAAGTGTTATATAAAGACTATTCAAAGAGTGATATAATATGACTTAATTTCTCGGCAATAATGATGACTTCCATTCTTATCTTCTTTTCCCATATACTATTTTGTTTTATACATTAATTCTAGCTACGACTTAATTAAACTCAATAGTTAAAGGAAGTGGTCTCTTATAATACAGTGAATCAAAGTTCAAATATTCACTAATAGAAGTGATTATATGTTTACTATTCGATCGGGACTCATTGAATTTAAAAAGGATACGTGATGAAAAGGCAAAAATAAAGCAAGATTATAATTACCAGAGCAAGTCCTTTAATGATTTGATCCGTGTAGTATTCAGGTTGTGATCGTTGTTGAGTTAGGAGATAGTCTATCATAGTATTAGCAATGCGTTTCCCATTACGATGCTCGTCAATGAGCCCTTGGAAGAACGCATCACTTCTCTTACTAACACTCTTCAGCTTCTTCTCCAAACCATCCAAATCAAACAACCTCACCAAAGGCAGAAAGTCTCCAGGGTTGCTCGGGCCCATTAATGACAACAAATCATGAATCATCTCTCTAAACTCTTTTGCTTCCTTCACGTTACTCATCTCACAGTCCTCACCATAGTACCTCTTCCTCGACACCATCCTCAACACGGTGTTGAACATCATTTCCGAAAACATGGATTTTAGTTCCACTTTGGCGAAACCATTGCGTGAGCGCTGAGCTAGCTTTTTAACGACCCTCATGGCCTCGTCCCTTCGGATATCTGCGAAGGAGTTTAAACGTTGCGTTGAGAGAACCTCGAGCGCTATGATGCGGCGGAGGTTGCGCCAGTGGTCGCCGTAGTTGGACGACGCCATGGTGGTGAAGTTGTACTGGATGTACTTGCCGGCGATAAATTGGGGTCGGTTCGCGAAGACGATGTCGTTTTTGGTGAAGCATTCTTGTTTTCGACGCCACTTTTTTGGACGGATTTAAACCCATCGGAAAAAACAAAATTCGTCGGAAATTTACCCTTTTCCGTCGGAAATTAGCATTTTTCTTGTAGTGAACACTATGATGCGGCGGAGGTTGCACCAGTGGTCGCCG